TCTCTGATTGGTTGTTGCGTCTTAAGATGACTGAGCCGACGCGCGTTTTAAACAATTTTTCTTTGTTCGATTTATCACACTTCACAGAGAATTGTCGCCAATGGCTACTTCTTTTTGTTGCAATATATAATACTTCACGGAGAATTGTCACCTATGGCTTCTTGTTGTTTTTTTAGCTGATAACCACACCTACAAACGTGGAGGATCCTGACTACACCCACATGCTGACTCAGTGGGGACAGTTCTTAGACCACGATCTCGATCTGACCGCAACCGCTGTGGGGCGCACCATGTTCAAACCCGGGTCAGTACAGGCCATCTTTCCTATCTGCATTTCCGACCTGTAGAATATGCATTACATGACGGGAACGTATTCACGAGAGGTGTATTTCCAGACGGTCAGCGCAGTGAAACTCCCATTGTTTTTGTTAACTGCCTATATGTCCTTCACACTTCAGAAGTCGACCCTGCAATGCTGTCTTCTGCTCTCCAACATTACAGGCTATCTTTACTAGTAGAGCACGTAGCCAGAATTTCTTGTTGCAACTTCCCACTACTCTTCTTTCAGGATGAACTCGACCTCGTGTTCAGAGACCTGTGAACACATCATGCCGTGTTTCCCCATCTCCATTCCTGATAACGACCCCCGCATAGACAACGTTCTGGATAAGGTACAAGATTTTATTTGTTTCACTGTACCTGACCCAGTACAAAAACTATACGGTATTCTCTCTAGACACTAGGCAACTTTCAGGACAAAGTCTTCTCCGTTTTACGTAAGGAAACGGCCAAGACACCCCCGTGTATGTGTTTAAGGAACATGGCCACTTAACCTCCAATCAGAGGATAACTAAGTGACATCTTCCTTACGACTAAGCCACGTGCCTTTCCTCCGCTGTGCAGGCCTGCATGCCGTTCACCCGCTCCAGTGCCGTGTGCGGGACAGGAGAGACGTCCTCCCTCTCCAACACCGTCATCCCCCGCGAACAGATCAACCAGATCACCAGCTTTATCGACGCCTCCCAAGTCTACGGCTCGACCTCCGAGCTTGCAGAGTCGTAAGTTTCCTTAGGTCTTTCAATCTACCTTCCCACCATAGCCTTAAGCCCTAAGACAATGTTTTGTCGTCATTGATGGACAACGTCGACGTTTTGTCTTACCAGACTGCGAGACTTCAGTACAGATGACGGTCTGTTGCGCGTCACGGAAGGAGCAGACATCAGCTCAGGAATGGACCTACTTCCTTTCCAGAACGAGGAGACGTCCTCCTGCCAGCAGGTCAGTGAGTATAAAACAAGAAACAAAGATAAAGTTGTCTCTGTCTAAGCTTGACTTACCAAGTGATTGATGTACTAATTGTGGATGGTCACTGTAATGAACCCAATGGCTTTAATACAGTCCTTGAGCACCAGTTGTCCTCACATAATGAAACTGCGGTTTAGGATCCCAGCGGAGGAGACGTCGTCCAGTGCTTCCTTGCTGGCGACGGTCGGGCTAACGAAGTCAACACGCTGATCGCATCACACACCGTCTGGCTCCGCGAGCACAACCGAGTCGCCCGGAAGCTGAGGGAAATGAATCCGCGCTGGAAGGGGGAAGAGATCTACCAGGAGGCCCGTAAGATCGTCGGCTCGGAGATGCAGCACATCACCTACACCGAGTACCTTCCCAAGATCCTCGGACAAAGCGGTAACATCATTTGTCCATAGAGTTGCTAGAATTAATGTACTGATGGCGGTCTCTTTCTGCTTTGGACAAATAAATTGTGACCCTGAGCTTTGTTACCTCCATGGAAAATGGAGGCATTGTTTTTTGGCTGTGTGCGTGTGTGAGTCTTTTTCCGCATATTTGTGGTCAGCATATCGTAAGAAGACCTTAATGGATTGTGATGATATTTGGGAAGACGAGTCGAGGATCAAGATCGATTAGGTTAGTATGCAGCAGAACTTTCGTTGTTTTTTTAAAATTTTTTTCCTAACATATCAGAAAAGAAAGGAACAGTGGATTCCATTGTTTGGAGCATGTGTGTAGCTTGGACAGTGACACTCACACAGCGCCTTTGCTGCAATTTATGATTCCCATTCCTAGGGCAACAGGCACGCCTATGTTGTTTGTGTTCGGAATCGGCGTTCTAGGTGTGAGGGCATATAGTTTTTAACATGTGCACACAAACAATGTCACTATAGTATAACCTTCTATATCCGACTCAGGGATGGACCAGATTGGGGAATACGCCGGGTACGACCCAAACGTGAACCCCTCGACCCGGAACGAGTTCGCCACCGCCGCCTTCAGGTTCGGCCACGCCGCCATTAGCGGAACGGTCAGGCGTTATAATGAGGTAAGAATAAGTTCATTCATCAGCGCTCTATTCTGACCGACCGACTGACACTCGTACAACCTGCATCATCGCAGGCCAGAGCCATCTGTTAAGTATCACTGTTTGTGTTATCCTTCAGCTTATTTTTCTTGTTTCTGTAGGATTACGAGGAGGACCCTGAGATCGGGAACGTCGCCCTCCACGATACCTTCTTCTCGCCGTGGCGCATCGTGAAGGAGAGCGGTGTAGACTCGGTGGTCAGGGGGCTCCTAGGAGGGTTCGCCAAGCTGGTCACTCCTACAGACGTGAGGCATTATCATCGACACTTAGTTTCATTCCCGTGTCTATCCATCACAATTTGGCCTTTGTGATGCCACAAAACTATACATAGGTACCCATCCAGTAATCTCCAAGTACTGTAGATCAAACAGTGGCAAAGCAGTATCTATTGGCCAGAGTGTCCATTAGCCACTAGTCAATGGATACTGCCTTGCCTCCGTATGATCTGCTTGGAGATTACCCATCCAGCTCATTATACAGGTCCCCAATCTCTGTATTGAACTATTCCTTTACGCAGATAGACTTATAATTACGCAAGAAGTTTGTAGTTCATCTACATGCAGAGCAATGGCCATGCAGTATCCACATTTCCTATTTGAGCAATCATCATCTATTCTTGCAGAGACTTCCCCGAGCAGGTTGTGCTAAGGTGCAAAGAGCTGATCAGATCTTACGTACGCGACTGGATCTTTACGTACAGACACTAAACATCAATTGATGATGGCGACATTGAACGTGACGTTGATTACATTCAAGTCTAATCAGCTGTTGTCGTTTTATTAGGTAATGCACGAGGAGCTCTCCCAGAACCTCTTCGCCCTGATGAACCAGATAGCGCTGGATCTGGCCTCTCTCAACACCCAGCGTGGCCGTGACCACGGTCTGCCCTTCTACAACGACTGGAGAGTCTTCTGTAACCTCCCTCGGGCAGGTGAGAGACATGATCATGAGTGGAAAAATCGTGGGATGTTTGCACGACCATTTGGCAGATTAGGAGAATGATTCTTCCGCATTTCTTCAACATGTAGTCAAACTGTGTTATTCATCAAGACTTCACCAGTAGGTAGATACATGTACATAGAAGGCAAGGATTGACGTTGTCGCTTCCACCCGAGTCAAGGAGGATTGTACAGAAGTAGGAAAATTGGTAAAATGAAATTGGTAGGATCTAAGAAAACATTGAAAATTCGGCATCTTTATGACTGGCCACAATTAGGGTTATATGAACTCTTTAGATACAACATTTTCTATCTAATGTTCACCTGCAGAATCCTTTGACGACCTCGCCGGAGAGATCACCAACTCAGACGTACGTGACAAGCTTGCTGACGTATATGGTGACGTCAACAACATTGACCTTTGGCCCGGAGCCCTTCTGGAGGATCACGAGGACGGCGCCAGAATCGGGCCGACCTTCAGGTGCATGATGGCGGAGCAGTTCAAGGCATACCGCAACGGGGACAGGTAAGGCAAGGATCTAATAAGTACGTAATAACAGGGCACACTGAAAGACATTTTGATTAAGAAAGTAGAATTGTGATTGGAGATGTCCTTGGAGGGAATGTGATCATCTGCTCGTCTAAAGAAGGAAGTCTTATCCCGGTAATGTCTTCCCATTTTAGGTTCTGGTTTGAGAATGACGGTGTCCTCAGTCCCGAACAGCGTGACGAAATCAGTCGAGTGACCTTAGCCCGCGTCATCTGCGACAACACCGGCATCACCCGGCTGCCGCCTGACGTGTTCCGGCGCACTGCCGTGGCTGACATGGTGGCGTGTGAGGACATCCCCGGCATCAACCTGGAGCTCTGGGAGGACAGTCGTAGAGGTACGAGTTCACTTGATGTAACGGCAACAACCATACTACGAGTATAATGCTTCATGTTCGCTGTTTGTTGCATTTGACATATGCACTCCTAATGGAGTTTTTTTAGAAGTTCTAAAACAGTTTTAACATGACTCAAAGGCGTTATAAAATCAAAAGCATCTTTGCTCGAGCCCAAGGAGACGCGTGACTTACATGTAGCAAGGCACAATACCAGGCTCTGTGGGCGATGCGCTTCCTTTCGAACAATTGTTACCTTAACAAGATGTACATGTACCTTATACTTAGCAAGAATTGTCACCACACATAGCACCACAACAAACATACCGCAGACTTACAATCAATGTTTCATAAACGTACTGTATCTTACAGGTTGAACTATGTATGAACGAGTAAGTTGCCGACGCGCAGTGACGTCAACATCAGCATGACGTCAGGACATCATTGCAGCCGCAACTGATTCTTGTCAATCTAGTAAGAAAACAGCCCTGGATTTACTTTACTGTGAATGAGTTCACAAGTTGATTTAAGATAACTATTATGCACGCTAAAGTGCCATTATCATTAGCTACTTTTGCGTTATAACAGGGTTGCCTAAGAATAATTCTATTTAATCCATTTTATTAGTCTATGTATGCTTAGCAATTTTACCCAGTAATCAGTTCAATTTTGATTGTTGATTTACGTAAGGCCGTAAGTCAAGATTTTCTGCTATGTCACCCGACGTAGATTACGCTGAAAATGACAAGGAAACAGATCCATATCCCATTTAGCAGCCTTGGACAGCAAGTATTCAAATGAAACTACTGATGAAGAAAATTAAAGTAGACTAATTAAAGTGTAATAACTACACGCAGAACAATAGGGTAAAGTACTGCTATTTATGTGTCACAGCAACAAGTAGCATAATTTTAAGAATAAACTTGTTAGTTGCAAAAGCGACAGCAAAAGCAACTAGTCTTCCCGGATTCCAATTGTGCACATAACAACAACATTACACATGCATAACAACAACATTACACATACATAACAACAACATTACACATACTACACAATCATTTAAAAACGACATATAAAACAATGACTACTTGATGGCCCAAAACACGTGACATCTGGAAAGACAATACATCTGTATGTTGAGTTCATCATGTCAATCATGTACGTACTGTCAGTCGACTGAAGGTTCCCATTCTTGTCTGAAGTGAAGACGTGTGAAAACCTGATTATGTGATCTTAAAATCGGCCAGAGATCAGCGAGTAACGTACCATAATGCTGTCAAGTTTGTTCATTGCCACAGAAAAGCTATCATAGCAATCGGTATGATATAATATAACACAACATAATATAACACAATAATATATGATATACAATATATAACATAACATAACATAATATAATATAATATAATATGATAAAGAACTGAGAAGCTTTGAGTTGGGGAGCCACGCCCACACTAAGTAGTGAAAAAATAATCTTTGCCAGGTGTTTCAAACATATTGTATTGTGCCAAGTCGTGTTATCTCTGGTTTCGTGAGGTTTTGATCATCAATTAAAAAGGAGACGTGTCAATATCAGGAATGGTCATGAAGTCGGTTTAGGTTACGAACTTGAGATATTGTTGAAGTTGCGTTACAATGATGTAGAAATAAACCTGGCGTTGGAAATCTAGTTGTCGTATGTCATTTCTATAATATCATTATTATTATCATCATCATCATTATCATTATTATCATCATTAAAAATGAGTCTGTTGTAGAGGTATCAACATAAACACAAACCCACCCTGTCCAGAGTTTGAACCCTCCTAAGGTACAGCGCAGTTCTGGGTATTAAGATCTCCAAGCAGAGGTACTGTTTGGCCTGAAAAGGACTGACAAAGTGAAACACAAAGTGGAGACAATGCACCTTCTTTGAGATTGCCATGAATGGCCTTGACACGCGGTGGGTCTTGATATTTGTCCAAAAACGACAGTAGAGAAGGGACGTAACCCTTAGAATCATGCTAAATCATTCGTGGTTTACAACAACACCATGTGGAATTACAAACGGCAAATTGCAAAGGAATCAGCTCTCACTGTCTCCTTTCATTTGCATAACGCCAAGCTGGAAAAGTGGTTAAACCGCGCCCCGAATTACTCCCGAACACCAGCCAATCACCAGCCAACCATGGCCGAACCTCCCGTCCACACACGAATGTTTTAAACATTTTGAAACATTCTCAGCAGCCGAACAGTAGCCAACCTGGCCAAACACCAGCCGACCCAGCTCCCGACCTACCCCTAACCAATAGATAAAGCAATGTTTGGGAGAGAGGAGTTCCGGGATCCACTGGTGTTCGGAAAGCCATATTCGGCTATGTGACTGGAACCGGGATTACAGTCAGCTATATATTCCGCTCATTGAATATTGGATTATTTCAATTGAATGTATTTCCAGTCCACCACGTTCTGATACGGATGCCCTTTGCATGTGATAGGAAAAGGATCATTTCACGACTTATTGAAATAGTTTTAGATGATTAGTTTTTGTTCTTTACCAGATGCCATAAACCAACCCATAAATCATCATTATATGGTACTTGCAGCTCATTACTGTCTGCTACCGTAAAGGGGTGCCCCCTTGCGGTTCCCTATGAGGTGCAGATACTAGCCCAATATTGTCCCTCAGTATTGCCTAGTATTGGTTGCTGTATAGTTTGTCACTGCAGGGTGACGACCACTCAACCATCGCTAGGTGACTGAATCGCACGGTGAGGTCAGCTGACCCTGTTCAGGGTCACATCTCATACTCACACCATCATCTCATTACACATTAACCTTCATTTTCGGTCGACTGTGCTTGTGCTAGGAGGTTTACAACATCATTGGATTGTATGTATCTCTCTTTCTCGCTCTGTGTGTTTGTGCGTCTACATGACTCAAGGTTGACGTCGCGTTGCCCAATTGTCTCACCACTTGAATCAGATGTAGACGAATGATTTTTCCTTTTCTGCCACATATCCTTATCATTATCTTACGAACTGTTAAGTTCAGTTGCGCTAACAACATCACACACTTGAGTACCCGGAAACTATGAAATAGGCGGTGTTGCAGACATGGCTTCTTTCGTGACTGCGTAGTTTTGACGTCACACCGCCTTTGGCATTCGGGTAAGGCGGTCTGAACAGACAACAGGGACTGGCACTGTGAGTAGACATCCTCCTTGTAATTTATGGTCACAAATGTTAATAGACTTCATGTTATATACCATTACTTGGTGTTGGAATACCTGGTTGGATATTCCATTTATACACGTTCATACATTGTTTCAATCTAAAAGTTCCATACCACATAGCCGGCTGGGGTAAAGTCGGAATAGTCACAAGATCTCTTTATTTCCGCCAGACTACCGGTATCGTTCTGAGTTCCGTAGTTGTCTTCAAGTTCTACGTTGTTAACTTTGCTACCATGTTGATATATTATCCATCACGAGTGTGAAAACTACATTTCTGCTGAAGTTGAGGTGAGTCACCCATTTGTAGCAATTCTGCACTGCGCTGTTGCCCACAACAATTGTTGGTATTTGTGACTTATATCAATATGTCAATAGATCCATGTACTTAGAAGAAATTTTACTGACCCTTTAAAGCTAAAAAGGGTCGACCTCACGACGATCAAATGCGTTTTAGAGTCATGCCATGTGCAAGTGTCAAGCCCTGCACCCCCAGCCCAAAGAAGAAATTTCGATCGCACAAAGTAGATATGAAACAAACCTGATTGTTATCCAGTAATTCTTGGTGGCGCAAAATTACTGTGAACTTGTTTTATTTCAAATAAGTCGAAGCATATTTTCATTTAGTGTTATATGACTTTCCACGGCAAGTTGCTTGAGTGTGTCCACAAAAGCGACTGTAAAACTCACTCGTGTTTGTCGAAAAGCGTTGCCCATTTTTAAAAACTCTCTGCTGCTGAACTGATCTTTTCAGATAAGGCAGTAATAGCAGACAATTTGGCTTAAGATCGGAATGTTCTCATGGTGTGTCGTCGTTGCTGTGGCGCCATGACCAAAATTTTGGCGCAAAATTGAGCGGCAAATATTCAGTACAATAAGACGCATTCAGGGCCCCCAACAATTATCTTTTTTATTCTATACATTTCTTTTTGTACTTGTTCAATACTTGCAGCCATATATTGTACCGCGTACAATTGTCGTACAATAAAGTTCTACTTCCGGGTGAGACCTTGAACGCCTCTCGTTACAATGCATTCTAATTTGTCTATAGTTTGATGGTCGAATAAATCTTTCATGGTGCCCCAATGACCCCATGAGGTTAGGATGAGATGGTGACAAGTGGTTCGACGGCTCCCGCACGTTTTGTGTCTGCACTGCACTATTACCAAGATCGTCGTCCCTTGTCTAACAGCCTGACGATTTCACACTGACTGCGCATACTTTAAAGGCAGTGTGCGTCAGAGGTGACCACACTGTGTCGTTCTGGCGTCACAATACGCGAGCATAGTCACGTAGTCATTTAGGCCATGTTGACTTGATTATATGGATGACATCCGCGGGCGCATGAATTTTCGGCCGTTTCAAAAAAAGTTTTCATCCATACTGTAAATCATACTAAACAATTGCAAAATGAGCAAATATAAAACGTAAGTTGCAAAAAAATATTGGAAAAACGATAACAACGTCAAAATCAAACGAAAAAGGAGAAATTGTAAAGAAATGAATTTGAAGACTAGATAATTCGCCATACCATACTCTGTGTCATTTGCTCAACCTTCATAACCACGTATATTTCATAATGAAAGCAACATTTTTTTCCAAACTTTTTTTTTATTCGCACGCTCGCGTCAGTTTTGGGGTTCCCAGAGGATGTCATCCGTATATAATATATAATCAAATCCACATGGCCTTAGTTCCAGCGGGCGCTGGTGTTATTTAGACTCAAAATTTATCCACACCTAATATATATTGATGCATAGCTTGAAACGTATAAATTCACTCAAAATTATAGTTCATACGAGTAGACCCCATTCAAATGTCATGATGACCTGATGACCTCCCTGACACGTGTCATGATGTCCTTCCTGACAAGTTTCATGAAGTCCTTCCTGACAAGTGTCCTTCCATATCAAAGACATGGTGCTATTGGCACGTACGCCAGAGGCGCCAGAGGTGACATTTAAACAATCTACACCAGTTTCCAAAGTGGACGGACAGGTATGTCTAATTGAGCTCAAGAGATCTCGTGCCAGGTACAGTACTGTACTGTACATGTCTCTAAGAGTATCGTCCATTTTCGTATAGAGGACAGTGCTGTACAGTCTCCAAGATTATCGTCCATTTTCCTATACAGACCACCGAGGTGAACATCAATTGCTGAGGATACTAGTGTCTATAGTCGATCCACGCTGTAAGGTCGATGACATTGCGTCGGTAGCTGTTAATTATCTTCGCTCAAAGGTTATGTTTTCGGTCGTGCGTGTAGGTTTGTTTTAGTGTTTGTAGTTTTGTTTGTGATTGTGGTTTTGTTGACTCAAGAAAAGATTGCAATAATAACGTACTTGGATAGGTCAAGGACATCATAGAGTCTATATAATGTCCTTTCTGCGGCCTTGAACGATCAAAGAAAAAGTTAAGTGTAACTGCCTCTTTGTCTTTGTACCCCATCGAATTCGACGTTGGTCTCATAAACATCTTCTCTTTTTCACAATGCAGGTAACCATGTCGTCAGTCACTGGGCTTCTCGTCTGCCTACTTGTCATCTCGACCCTGCTGGCGTCAGTAGAGGCGCAGTGCAGCGGCTACAAATGCTGTGATGAGGGGGATAAGAGCTGCGTCAGAAAAACAGACGATGACAAGCCATGTTACTGCGAGCCTGACTGTTTGTACCGGGAGGACTGCTGTCCGGACTACCAGAAAACCTGTGGTGAGTTACAGAATCTTCTCTACCTCTTCTCCTACACGGAGCGCTGATGTACACAAAATGCAGGTTACAATCTACATATAAAATATTGGTTATTTTTCTGACTACTGAGTAGTTCGATCTTGGGAATAATCGAGGTCATGCAGCATGCTACATGCCATAGGCCATGACGAATCATCAAGTAATTTAAATGTAGCCCAACCGACCAATGTGGCTCTGCTTTTATAATATATATTGTGTATGTATAATTTGAAGTATTCGAAAAAAAAATGGTACAATGATATGCATGCTATCCACAGTATTACTGAACGGCGCGGAAATGCATTACCCCGGCGACAAATTCGTCACAACCTCGATACTTGAAGCTATGACTCGTGTGGACACTGCGATTAACAGAACCAAGCAGATGCACGATGATCCGAACAGGTAAGAAGGAAGAGGAGTATGCTTCGCCATCAAGGGGCAAATGGGACTACGGGGTGTAAACAGTTTAAACATGGAAGAGCATGATGCTTCAGGTTCATGTTCAAGTGTTAATGACATTATACATTAATTTTATCACCTCTTTACCACGACAACGTGTGTACTGGGCATGCACATGATTTTGTCGGTGCGGCATGTGATGTGTGATGTGTGCTGTGTGCCGTGTGTTTGCCCATACATGTAGTTCACCGTTCTCATACCAGGCAATGAGATCCGTGAAAAGAAGTAATAAAGGTATCAAGTAATGAGTCATAGCAACTTCAGCCTAGCGACAAGGTGTTTTATCAATTGCAGTAGCGACCTATTCAAAGAAAATCATATTTCCATCTATTTTTGGGTAATTTTCAGAGAAGTGACGCCAGAAGACTTCCTGGACCTGTTCCGTCACATGAGTCAGGGCGCCCAGCGGGAGGCACGGGCGGCTCAGATTTTTGAGATTACCCTTCAGCTGGTGGCAGAGAAGGTCAAGGCTAACCTTAGGATTAGCAAGATGTTCGGAGGTAGGATTCTTCCTACAGCTAGAATTGTTCTAGGTGGTGGGTGAAAATTCAAAAGTAAAAGGTAGATGACAAAATTGATCTCTATGGCTAGCTAGCTATCAAACACTTTTTGACACCAACGTCCTATGCAAGAAACGATTACTTATTCCTCTATTCTACTCGAAAACAAAATAAAATCACTCAAGATATGTTTTCCAGACATTCCTTCCATCAGCGAGATGATCTCTCAGGAGCAGCTCAACAAAATCGCCTCCCTCTCCGGCTGCGCACGCTCCGTGACCCGGGTCAACTGTTCCTCAGACTGCCTCTCCAGCAAGTACCGCACCATCGACGGGAGCTGCAATAACAGGGAAAATCCGCTCTGGGGCTCTTCACTCACACCCTTCCACCGTTTCCTGCCGCCGATCTACGAGAACCAGTGGAACGAGCCCGTGGGCTGGAACAAGACTCGGGAGTACAACGGATTCACCCTGCCCAGCGTCCGCCATGTTTCCAACCAGGTAGGTCTGAATAACAATCATACGTATCGTTGAGAAAGACAAGACTGCCTTTTGATTTCATTTTACTTCATGAAGGAGTTCAGTGACATCCGACGAAGTCTTACGGACGGTTGCATTTTATGATCACTATATGAGGGCTTAGGTATTGGGCTACATGGGGGTATAGAAGCACTTGGTACTGAAGAGCATCTTGAAACAAAACAATACTCCCCTGCGAAAAGTGTTGAATGTAGTTCAGTATGGCACGCTTTGACCAAACTAACATTGATGTCATTGTGGAAAACGTTGTCATTGTTAAGCTGATGACCACGCCGACAGACGTGGAGGATCCTGACTACACCCACATGCTGACTCAGTGGGGACAGTTCTTGGACCACGATCTCGATCTGACCGCAACCGCTGTGGGGCGCACCATGTTCAGACCCGGGTCAGTACACAGCCCTTTTTCCCGTATTCGAAAACATTAGCTAGACGTAATCTCTGTTGACCAATTGACATACACTGTTACATACACTGTATAGAGCTAAAGAAGTACACAAACCATCCATCGACCTTACAACCTCCAACTTCTTCCCTAAACCACCCTTACATGCTAAACCTTCGATCGTCTCGTCTCCAGCCTTTATTAAAAGCACCTGTTCCTTTCAGGATGAACGTGACCTCGTGTTCAGAGACCTGTGAACACATCATCACGGCGGTCGGTTGCTAGGCTAAAAGTCGCATTACTAGGGAGGTATCGGGTTACAGAACGTGTTCGAACGTGGCCGCGCGGGAGTCCCGGGCCGGCCCGGGGGCAACGGGTAAAATTTGAAAATAAACAAAAGTAATTGGAGAGTAAATACTCGTCAAAAAAAAATGTAATAATTGATTTTGTTTACCTCAAATGTTATTCTTGCACTGCCTTTGCTCCACTTTGTGTACATTTGCTTCCAAATGAGATCAATTTCGGATTTCAAAAAGGGTTCACGAGAACCAAACAACTGATTTTAAGAGGCCCCGAAAATTAAAGATAAGGTTAAATTTTTGGATTTTTAGAAATATTACAGTAAATGTAAACTTTCTGTCTTAGGATTTTTTATTTTTAACTAAAACTCGACTTACAGTCAAAAGAAGAGCTAAAAACGCAGTGTTTTAACTTTAAATACCGATAATTCATAATCGCGGCCATATTTAAAAAATCCCTAAGACAGAAATCTGCGGAAATCGTTCCTCTTCCAAACAAGCCCTCAATTAGGTAATTTGAGCGCTTTTTGGGAATGGTTAAAATACCATGTTTGCACGCATGCTGTGCCACTTGGATATGGGGACCTGGATTTTATAACAGCGTCAACAAGAATTCTGACCTTCAAGGTCACCCACGATGACGGCAGTAGCTTCGTTACATGTTACATATCCACAATAAAATCACGGCATAGATGTAATGTTTTGAAAACGGTTCATATTTGTGGAAAGGTGGATTTTTCCTGTTCCGTGGTTCCCAAGTAAAAAGGG